CAGAGCAGCTTTTAGAAGCTCAGTATTAACACTGGCACCTCCCGCGTTACCATACCTAATAATAATCCTTGCATTTGATATAGCGCTTTATCACATCTTCGAGACGTCTCAAAGCACTTTGGAGGATATATTGAGAAGTGTAGTCACTATATTTTGTGGGCAAAACACAGCAGCCAATTTCACACAGAGGTGCAACAAACAATCATGGATTGAGTGACCAATTTTTTTAAGCAATTATTACGACCGGAAAAGCAACCCATCAATTGACTAACAACCGGTTTCGTATTTACTGCCAGTTAAATAGAGGATAGGTAAAGTACATTACATTGCATCGTGGAGTCCTGTAGCTCAGTGGTTAGAGCACTCGCTTTGCAAGTGAGAGACCTGAGTTCAATCCCAGGCAGAGGGCGAAACCTTGGGCAAGTTTCCTTACTCCACACAGAGCCTAATAATAATCCCTCCAAAAACCAAAAACAATAATAAATTGGTCATTTTCAATCTACGACTGTTTGTGGGACATTGCTGTGCGCAATTGGCTGCCGCGTTCGCCCACAAATATATAGTCAATTCACTTTACAGTGTGTTCTGTGAAGCGCTTTGGGACGTCCTCCCCACGTGAAAAGCGCTATATCAAATGCAAGGATTATTATTATTAATGTAATTCCTCCCAGCGGACTGTTTCATTTCAGTACTCAATCTGCTCAGTGCATGCAGCCAGATCTTGTAACCTCCATGCAGATGGATCACTGCTACGTCCTGGCAGTGGGGAACAGCGCTTAAAAACGGATCTTTCTATCTCAAAGCGAGAACAGTGGCCATCTTGCCCTGCATTCGCTCCTCCATCAAATTCACTCCAAAAATTATAAATTATAAAACAAAACTGGCAACTTATCCTATTGCTCTTTGCCAGATGCAGCAGTATTTGACTACTTAGTATTCACGTTGGTTTCTAACTAATCTTGCCCTGCGAAGTGCTTTGAGACGTTGCTTTAGAGCCGCTACATAAATGGAAATAAAAAAGTGCGTAAACCCGCTCAGATTATCCAATTTGTCAGCACTGAATGTACTTTCTTACAACACCCAACGCTAATCTTAGTGCATATCTGAAATTCCAGTGTGCACTCGAAATCTTGTGGATGTGGATCGGGGAAGGAAGAACACACTTTGAAATGAAAGACGGACAGGGACAGACAAGCAGGGAAGACAATGGATGAAAGAGTATTCAAGTTTTATTTTTGGTGAAAGTTGATCAGTGAAAGACAATTTGCTCCTGGTTAAAAAAAAATCGTCGCATTATTTCTTCATTATCTGGGAATGCAACAGCAACTTGTATTATTGTAATAAGAATAATAGCAATCCTTGCGTTTTATAGAGCGCTTTATCACATCGTCAAGATGTCTCAAAGCGCATCTCAGAATATACTGTAAAGTGAATTAACTGTATTCTATGGGTGAAACACGGCAGCAAATTGCGCACAGCAGTATCCCACATACAGTCGTGGATTGAGTGACCAAATTATTATTGCTAATTTAAAGGGTTTATTACCTCCGGAAAGTGATCCACTTTCGGCTAATAACCGGGTTCTTACTTATTTCTAGGTAAACAGAGGCGTGTGGAGTAGGAAACTTGCTTAAGGTTTCGCCCAGCTCGGGAATCGAACCCGGGTCCTCTTGCTTGCGAAGCGAATACTCTAACCAATACGCAACTGGACTCTAAAAAGGGTAGCGTGAATGCAGTACGCACACAGCGCAGCTGGTTTGCGGATTGAGTGCGCACTGTATTTTTAGGTGGGATTCGCATTCCATGCACACGAGCAGATTCGCAACATGAACCTACATTGAGTTTGCACCTTTTGTTTGGGGGGGTCACACGTGGAAGCTGGTACCGGGCCCAAGTAGAAACCCATCACAATGCTTAAAGAGTACCCAAACCAGATGCACGCCACCTACACATTGGAAATTTGCCTGTGAAATGGGCACTCTCTCTCCCTGTAGGGACGTACCCTACTTACCTACTTCTGGAGAATATGAGACACAGGTTGACCAAGGCTTGGGATCCTAGAATGTCCATTGGGTACTGTTGGAATGTAAACTCATGTAACTTGCCATTGAAAGAATTAGCTGGTCTCTCATCGGCAGTATCCTGGAGTCCTGCAGATCCGCCTTGCTCAAGAACCCGTCTCAAGACCGCCATAGAGGATAGTGATAGTGCCATACGATTTGGAGTCAACTGACATCATGGGATTCCCCCATGAGCTCACTCAACTCCCCCTTCTCTCTCCCCTACTGCCTGACACGGTCAACCAGTCTCTCTCTCCTCAGGCTCTGTTCCACTCCCTCTGAAAACCGCTCTCATCACACCCCTCCTCAAAAAATCCACCTTCAATCCCTCTATCTCTTACTCTTCCGTGCCAAAGTCCCAGAAGGCATTGTCGCAGGTCAACTTCGTCCACACCTCTCCCTCCACTCCCTCCTCGAGCTCCTGCAGTCTGGTTTTCGCCCTGACTGCCCTCAGCACAGAGACAGCCCTTGTCAAAGTCACAAATGACATTCTCTCTATCTGTGACCAGGGCTTCCTCTGCCTCCTCGTCCTCCTGGATCTCTCTGCCGCGTTCGACATAGTCGACCACTCCATCCTACTCCATCAGCTCTCTTCCCTCATCTATCTTTGTGGGACTGCACTCGCATGGTTCAAGTCCTACTTAACCAACTGCCTCCATTTCATCTCAACAAATGGTTTCTCCTCCCACCCCCGCCTGGTCACCTGTGGGGTCCCCCCCGAGGGCTCACTCCTGCTGATCTAAACTCCCCAACCTCCCTGGGTTCTCCCTCAAACTCATCCAACCAGTGTGCAACCTAGGCATCAGGTTTGACCCCCAGCTGTCCTTCCTCCCCCATATCCGTTCCCTGACCAGGACCACTTTCTTCCACCCCCGCCACATTGCCTGCCTACGACTGTACCTTACCCCAAATGCTGCCGAAACCCTCATACATGTATTTGTCACCTCCTGCTTGGATTACTCCAACACACTCCTCGGCGGTCTCCCCAGCTCCATCATTCACGAGATCCAGCTCATTCGTTCACTCTGCAGCCTGCATACTGACCCGGACCAAACTCCATACCCACATCTCACCAGTTCTGGCCCAGGCTCCACTTTTCTCTCCGACCGTGCTGATGGCCAGTACGCCTTCCCCCCGGCTCGGAGTCAGACTCCATCACTGTTAAGCGCTCTGAGACTCTACCCTGCGTGGAGGGTGCTATATAAGTGCAAGTTATTGTATATATGCAATAAACTCTGGATAACTCAAACTTGGCTTAAACCACTTAAGTAGCTATGCTGTCAATAACTTGGAAGCTCCCCATGAAAAATGTTAATAAGGGACTCCACTTTACTTGTCACTCCACTTAACTCATAACTAGTCCCATTCGTGAAAATCTTGTAAGTTCTTACTTCAGATAACTTGTCCTATAAGATGGCATCTTGCATCACAGAGGCCTGCAGCCCTATCCTGTGAGTGGTGCAGGTGCTTGGGCATGCATGGTCAGATGTATCACAGAGGCCTATGGTCTATTGGTGGACTATGCTGTGCCTACCTCCCACCCTATCCTGTAACAGGAGATCACTATGACCTCCTAACCTCCTACCAACCTGTCCCCTCCCTCCGCGCAGCGGGCTCTGGACCTCAACACATCCTCTGTCTTGCCCGTCCCACCATTGGCGGGCAGGCTTTCAGCCTCTTTGCTCCACCCTCTGGAAATCCATCTCACAGTCCCTCTGCCTCGATCCATCCGTTACCTCCTTCAAAGCCCATCTCAAGATCCTCCTCTTTGACAGTGTCTTCGGTCACCCTCCTAGCCCTCCTCTCCCCGCCCTCCTCCCCTCCTGATCCCAACCAGCAACTCGGGTGCGGATATCCCTGACTATCCAGCGCCTTGGGACATCCTCCTGACATGAAAGCTGCTGTACAAATGTAATTTGTTGTTATCGTTGTTGTTGTGCGGCTCTCCGATTTCATCTGGTCCATCTGCTCCCTATAATTCTAAAATATTGCCAATGCGACTGGCAGATGTTTCTCAACTAGGGATCCGGTCCTCAGTAGCTAAAAGATTGGACCACCCTGGCTGAGACCATACGAGTTCCAAGTCCCGAGATGGGGGTTTGAATTGACAACCTACTGACTCAGAGTCAAGAGCGCTACCAATTGAGCCAGGCTGACACGCAGGTTGCTAAGTGCCACCGTGACCGGAAATCAATGTGTAGCAAACGTTGAATTGATTCCAGGAAGATCTGCTTTCACCAGCCTACAAGCGTGATGACGGGCACGAAACTTATCGGGGAGACTCTGACACTGACTTTCCGAGGGTCTAAGTGACTCACTGTTACTTTCCGAGGGTCTAAACAACTCTGGAGGAAGTGTGAATGGTTAAGCTACAGACGTGAATTTCATCCTGTTTTTTGATTAAACCAATTTCATGCTTATAATTTCAATGGTGTAATTTTAGATTCTCTGATGAGTCTCCCCGATATCGCAATAAGATTTGGAGTCAATTGACATCATAGTTTCCCCATGCTTTTGCTATATATATGTGTGTGTAAAGGGGGAGAGAATTTCAGAATCCTCTCACTTGTCTTCAAATCCCCTCATGCCCTGGTATCTTCCTTCCTCTCCGACCTGCTTACTCCCCAACCCACTAACCGTTATCTCTGTTCGACTGGCTCCAGCCTCCTGTTTGTCCCTCGTGCCCTCCGTTCCACCATCAGCTACTACGCGCCGAAACTCTGGAACACTCTCCCCAATCCCACCGCCTTGCCTCCTCCTCCCTGAAGACTTTCCTCTTTGCCCGTGCTTACGGTCACCTGCTCCCTCCCTCCGGCTTAGGGTCGTGCTCCACCACTGTCAAGCGCTCTGGGACACTATTCTGTGTGAAGGACCTATACAAAAGCAAATTATTGTTGTTGAGAGTAGCTTGATTTAACCCATGGATAAGATGCTGTTAATATGGATGCTGTTAGCGTTGGATATGCCTCAATCAAGAACTTTGGAGAGAAAGTGTTTGGAAGATACAAAAAGTTTCTTCAAGACCTTCACTTGGAGAATCCCAGAAAGTACGCCGTGTTAAGTGAGTACTGTGGTTGCATCCTTGAAGTCTGTGATTTATTTCAAAATAAAACAAAAAAGGTGAAATTTAAACCCTGGAATAACACAAGGAGATGAAGTGAGGACCAAGAGGACACTAAAAACAGAAAATGTCTAGTTAATTAATCTGTTAAGATATACCACAAATTAAACCCTGTTAAAGAAATCGGAATAATCAGCGGAAAAAACATTAAATGGAATTATATTATTATTATATTTGTACACCACAAATATAGGCCACTTGGCCCAACCAGTCCATGCTGGAGTTTATGCTCTACATGAACCTTCACCCATTCGTTACTCCCTCCCATCCCCTTCTGTTCCCCTCTCCCCACTATGAAGGTCCAGCTTCCTCTTGAATGTCCCTACATTATCTGATTCCAGTACCGCTTGAGAAAGGGAGTTCCACAATCTCACTAAGCGCAAGCGAGAGGACCTGGGTTTGATTCCCAGGCATGCCGAAACCTTAGGCAAGGGTGAAGCAGTTCCTCCTAAATTCTCTTTTTGATCCCCTAGTCACTATCTTATATTTGTGTCCCCTGGTTACAGACTCCCCAACCAGTAGAAACAGACTTTTTAAATGTTAACCTTATCAAACGCTTTTATAATATAAAACAATTTTATCAGGTCCTTGCTTAAATGTCTCTTCTCTAGCGAAAAAAAGGCCTAACCTATCCAATCTATTTCGATAACAGTAACCTTTCAAAATAAGTGTTTTTAATCTTTGTTTCATGTGTGTCAGGCTCATTGGCTACTAACCAAACAAAGGTGTTTAAACTGATTATCCCTTCTCAATTAATTAGTTTATCGGGGGGGAGGGAGCAGAGGGAATTAACATGCTTCACAACACTTGGTAAAGATTTGACTTGTGTGGTTTCCTGAAGCTCAGGGGATACACGCTTCCCTCACAAGCCAGAGGACCCGGGTTTGATTCCCGGAACACAACCTAATACAGGTTTCCTTACTCCACACACCTCTGTTTACCGAGCAGTAAGTAAGAACCTGATTGTTAGTCGATTGGCGGATTGCTTCCGGGGGTAATAATCTCTTCAAAAAACAATAATAGTGAATAATGTGGTCACTCAATCCACGACTGTTTGTGGGACACCGCTGTGCACAATTGGCTGCTGCGTTTTACCCAAAAAATATACAGTCAATCCATTTTACAGGAAATTTTGTGAAATGCTTCGCGACGTCTCAACGACGTGATAAGGCTTTACATCAAACGCAAGGATTATTATTATTATGAACTATTACTATTAAATCTCCATGTTGTGAAATGCAGTGTACGATTCGATTGGCAGACAAGGCAGCAACATTCTGCATGGGAACATCGATCAATTGGGGTCTTACAGTGAGTGTATCTCGGCTCGAGCCCCGGCTGGCTCCTTCAACGGGCAATACTGCAAACTGAAGGTTCAGCAGGTAACTCGCCTGTGATTCATCCAACGGACAATGTTTCCTCTGTTCTGCAATGAATGAATGCACTTAGATTTCTTTGTTTTGAACAGGGAGGCATTGACTTTCATGTTGCCATTTGTATGCCCAGTTCATGTAAGAATGAGGATGTCATCAAGGCTGAAGAGCTGGGTAAGCCAGGTGCTTATTCTGATGCAACGCGGTGTTAGAGTTATGTAATAATAATAAAAAATAATAACCATAATTGAATAATTATTCGGTCACCCTCCTACCCCTGCCCTCCATCCCTCCTAATCCCAACCCCCAGCTCGCGTCCAAATCCTTGACTGTCCAGCGCCTTGGGATATCTTCCTGATGTGAAAGGTGCTATATAAATGCTAGACGTCTCTATACCCCGAATATAGAGCCACTATACCCGAAACTCTGGAACTCTTTGCCTTAATGCCTCTACCCTGCTCCTTCCTTGCCTGTCTTCAGATCACACCTTCCTCTTCGACCATGCCTATTGTCACCTCCCCTTTCTCCCTAGCTCGGATCAGGCTCCGCCAGTGGTAAGCGCTCCAAGACGCTACACCGGGTGAAGGGATCCTTATAAATGCAAGTTATTGTTATGGTTAAGAAAGTTGACGCACATCCCAGAGAATATGGCGGTATGGATTTTCCTAAAACAAATATCCTTTGACAGGTATTTTGAAGTACAAGAACAGGTCGTTCCTGTCATTTTCACCAATGCCCTTGTTTCGTGTGACTAACGCCACATATGGAGTGAAAAGTGTACACTGCCACAGCATCAGTCCACGCATCGACATGTTTGTGGGTGTTTGTATGTATGTATCACCATTCTGCACCGTTAAGGTTATCTGAATGTTATTCTCTTCTCCTGTGCTCCATCTAGAAAAGGGTTCATTGTCCATTTCTTTAAACAGATCTGTTGTGGTTCTGTTCATTGCAATGACCATTGCTGGCTCAGTTTACATTGAAATGAAGGGATGGAAGATTAGATGGACAGATAGCACGCACAGAGAGGGTTTAAACTCAGGTCACCGGGCCGATGGGGCTGTGGTGTTTGTTGGAATGGTCGGACAGCAGCCCCAGGAATACTTCACACAATCCAAGCACGAAGTGAGTGTTACATTAGAGACCAACACTGCAGAGAGGAGAGAAAAGAAGTGCGTAGCAAGTAAGTTCTTCCTTCACTATTAATGCTGACATGTTAGATGCTTAATAATCATAATCATTATCGTTGCATTTGTTATGATGCATCATGTCATTGAGATGTCTCAAAGCGCTTCACAGAATATACTGTAAATTGGATTGACTGTATAATTTGTGAGCGAAATGTTGCAGTCAGTTATTCACAGTAATGTCCCACAAACTGCCATGGAGTGAGTAACCAATTGTATTTGGGGGATTATTGATCAGGACACTGGGAGAAAGAACTCCCTTCTCTTTTTGAATGGTGCAATGGGATCTTTAACATCCACCTGAACAGGCAGACGGGAGTTGGTTTAATGTCTCATCCGAAGGACAGTACCTCCTACAATGCAACACAATGCATATTGTGGTGAGTGCTACTAAATGAGCCAGGCTGTCGCATTACTTTATCTATAATTATTTGGTTGTTCCTTACCTTATATAGCTCACTCCTGCAGCACTGGGATTCAGCCATTGAACCACACAAATATATAGCGCTGAAGAAAGTCATTCAACCCATCGCGTCTCTGCTGTCTCTTTTAAAGAGCAAATCCTATTTACCTACCTTTTCCCCTTTACCTCCGTAGTTTTCTCCTCATTGCTCTCCTCCGCCCTCCCAAAAAAGACACGCACACATACACTATACAATACACAGCACTTTACACCTTAAGCAGGAAATCTGGGGTCTGAACTCACCCATTTTGGCAATGTAAGCAACAACAGCAGCAATAAATTATATTTGCACCTGAGTTGGGGGTTGGCATCGGGAGGGGTGGAGGGCAAGGAGATAGGAGGGTAATCGTAGGTAAGGTCGAAGAGGAAGGTCTTGAGACGGGCCTTGAAGGAGGCAGGGGAGGGGATGAGGCAAAAGGACTTTAGGATGGAATTCCAGAGCGTGGGGGCAGAGAGGCTAAAGGCCTGACCACCGATGGTCAGATGGGCATGACGGGGGATGTGGAGCAGGCAGGAGTCTGCCAAATGGAGGGAGCGGACAGGCCAGTAAGGGGTTAGCCGGTCACAGGAGCAAAGCCATGGAGGGCTTTGAAAGCAATCTCTTTGCATTCTTTCTGGTTTCCTCACTGCTGCCTCACATTGTTTGGACACAGTGAGCAATGAGTCAACTAACACCTCTTGGCCAGGCTTTAATGAAATCTTTATTCCCTTTGCTTTTGATGAAGTTTTTGTCAGCGTACATTTATAAAATGGTGTTAGGGTCACCCAAGGTGATGATTCTGTGACTCCAAACAGCACAGTTCTCAATGTGGTTCCAACTCAGGGAAATGCTGGCAATCAAACCTCGGAAATATATGTCTCAGCGCAATCAATAAATAACTAAGAATACACCGATGTGGGCAAAAAATAGCACTCGAAGATTTAATTAGGCTCTGACTAAGCCTCCCTAAATAGCTGAACCCATTATCACCGTGTGGCTTGACGTGGGTTGGGGGCACTGGAAGCATCGCAGGACCTGTCACATCCTCACAAACAAATGGCTGAGAGACTACGGAGGGAGGTAGGGGGTGAAATAAGCACACAAGCACACAGTTTCCTCGTTGCAATATTATTAGATTAACCAGGGCTCCACAACCCCGTGAGTCTATCAATGACCAATTTTTGGCTCATAAAAGACGTGTTATTTTTAATCAGAATGTCTGGAGTCTGGCGCCCAGTGCATTGCAAAACGCAGGAGGTTTAGAATCAATTCCTACCACTGTTGGTCAGTGGTTAACAAGAAAAAGACAATAAAACAACTTGGAACTTGAACAGTCGAAACTGACTCTCCAATGCAGTGTTGGGGAGCACTGCACTGTGCTGACTATCCCCCCAAAATAGAATTGGTCACTCACTCCGTGGCTATTATTATTAGTAGTATTATATTATTATTTATGGGACATTGTTGTGTGCATATTGGCTGCCACGTTTGTCCATAAACCCAGTCACTGCACTTTACAGTAAATCCTGTGAAGCACTTTGAGTTCCCCTCAACGTGAAAGGTGCTACATCGAATGCAAGGATTATTATTATGATTATATCTTGCATTTACATAGCATCCATCACATAATAATAATAATAACCACTGAGCTACAGGACTCCACAGGGGTAATGTCTCAGAATGCTTCACAGGAAATGGGATAACAAGAAAGGGAGAAGACAGAAGGGGAAGGAAAGGTTTAAGTTAATGCAATATTTGTAAGGAATTTTGGTGATAAATTTCCAGCTTTTTCCTAAAAAAAACATACTCCCTTTTCCATTGCCATACAAAACAATAAATAAGACCATTTCAAGACGGTATTGAACATCAGCCTTAATGATACCTTAACATGCAAACCAGGTAAGCAAGATCCCCTTACAGTTGAACTGACTCCAAGGTGACATGTTTGGCAATAGAAAAATTCAGAATTGAGCCCACCCTCTTTGGTGGTCTCGGTAATCCGGTTCCTGAGCCAAGCGGATCTGCAGTATTCCAGAGCACCGCTGATGGCAGCACAACCAACCTGACGGACAGCAGAAGAAGAAGAAGAAGAAGAAGAAGAAGAAGAAGAAGCAGAAGAAGCAGAAGAAGCAGAAGAAGAAGGGCAGACCAGTCATTTGGGGCAGGGAATCATCCCACTCAACTCCTGGTAACCCTGCAAGCCAAAGCCCTAATGGGCAGGGAAGTCCTGGCTGGATAAGCAGCAAGAAAGGTTGCCAGACAGTGCTCTCAATGGGAAGCTATGCAGTTTTTAGCTGTTTAGGCTTTAGCAGTTACCTCAACGGACATTCTGTGGTGTGACTCCCCTGAAGCCTTGGCTCTTGCCAACCTGCAGCGAATACTCTCTAGAATTAGATAGGTGGGGTGGGGCCCTCCAGGGTGAGGAGTGAGGTGTGCAAAAAAACATACAATTTAAAACCACTTTTAAAGTGAATATTTTATGGTTGGGGGAGGGGGGAAAGGACAAAAAATTAGAACAATGAAATACCGTTTATAGCTGCTGTAAATTTCTGACCTTAAGGATGCTCTCTTTAATTTGTTCTCTCATGTTGTTTAGCTGCTGCAGAGGTTTTCGACTGGATGTTAACATGCTTTGCCATACAAAAGAGTGTCCCTTCTGTGCTGTCCACTGAGACATCCACGGGCAGCTACTCTGTGATAAATGGGATTCGAGTCCTGAGTCTCCTCTGGATAATCTCAGGACACATGTGCCAGTTTATTTTATTCAATAACTTAGGTACGGTAGGTGACGTTAGCCTGCATTACTTGTCCTCGTGTAATTATTATAATGATGATGATCCTTGCATTTGATATAGCTCCTCATCGCGTCGTTAAGACGTCACAAAGTGCTTCATAGAATATACTGTAAAGTGAATTCATTGCGTATTTTGTGGGCAAAATGTGGCAGCCAATTGCACACAGCAATGTCCACAAACAGTTGCGGATTGAGTGACCACATTTCTTTTGAGAGGTTACTATCCCCGGAAAGTGTTACGCCAATCGATTAACAACCGGGTTCCTACTTACAGCTACGTAAACAGTGGCGGGTGGAGTAAGGAAACTTGCCTAAAGTTTCACCCCGCCTGGGAATCGATTGCTAGGCGAATGCTTTAACCACTACACTGCGGGAAACTCCAGGAACACTCAGCACTATTGGGAAAGAGAAAGGAGGATGTTCGGATCAACAATCCTCTAGAGCTAACCGATCATTCACTCTGCAGCTGTGATTTGGCACTTTCCTGCATGCAAATTGACTGCCACGTTTGTTCTATAGGGATCATTTCACTTAACAACAGAATGGTAACTCCCTCTCTTTCTGCTTTTTAAGTCCAGTGTCAAATCCCACCTCTTCAAACATGCCAATGGCTACCTCTCCCTCTCCTTTGCTCAGGATCCAATCTAAAGCACTTCCTACGTGAAGGGCGCTATATCAATCTAAGTTGTTGTTGACAGCAACTAGGAACATAGGAACAGGAGTAGGCTGTTCAGCCCCTCGAGCTTCCGCCATTCTATAAGATCATGGCTGATCTGTACCTCAACTCCAATTACCCGCCTTTGCCCCATATCCCCTGATATCTTCATCTACCTCAGTCTTGAAAATGTGCAGCATCCCCAGCCTTTTGGTGGAGAGAGTTATAGATTTCCACTACCCTTTGCGTGAAAAATTGCTTCCTGATATTTGAATTACCTTTGAGATGTTTGGCATTATAGGCATGTAAATCTATATATCATTTATACTTACTCTTTATAATGTTCTCCCCACTCCCCGATGGATTTTGTTCTCATTAAGGTGAGGGTTATTTCCTCACCTGAGTTTACAACAATAATATCATACAAGTTTACTTATAGACCAGAATATCCATATTGCTGGTTCAATTGTGTATTAAGAATAAACTCTTAAAATAGTTCTTTCCTTTTTTTCCAGATAATCCTTTAGAGTGGTTGAGGACGATCCCAAACAATGTGTTTTACATTGTTTCCCTGGGTGGACCTTTCTATTTAGCAGTCGATACCTTCTTTCTAATTAGGTAAGTTAGAGGACACATAACGTGCACATAACATGGTACAGTTGCTGAACAGAGAAGAGCTTGGATTATTTGCTTTATTATTATTATTAATAATAAATTAATAATAATCATTAATATTATTAATAATAATATTAATAAGAAAAATCATCATCATCCTTGTATTTGGTGTGATGCCTTTCACATCAGGAGGATGTGTCGTAGTACTTGGCAGGATTCACTGTAAAGTGTAGTGACTGCATTTTTGTGGGTGAATGCAGCACAGCAATTTTGCACACAGCAATGTCCCATTAACAGCCATGAAGTGAACGACCAATTTCATCTGGGGATTTTTGGCCAGGATACCATGGGATCTTTAACTTCCACCTGAACAGACAGACGAGACATCTTTAACATCTTACCCGAAAGATGGCACCTCCGACAATGCAGTGCTCCCCTAGTAATAGACTGTGTGGATTCAAAGTCCTGATCTAGGGTTTGAACCAATATTTTCTCAGAGGCTAGTATCCTGTGTGACTGCAAAGCATGTTCTCACTCCCTCATCATCTTCCTCGACCTTTCACATCACCCGATAACCTGTGAAACACAACTGGTAAGAGTTCACTAGTGTGGTTAGTATGTTTTGGCTCAGATGGGTGTCTGTCCTGCAGGAACCCATCACTGTGCTTTAGGGTATCTAAACTAGACTGAGATCTCCATGTATCTCACCTATTTGTGGAAATTCCTGTGTATTGGAATAGAATGCACACTCTTCCTCCCCGGAGGGATGGGTCCTGCTTACCTGATTCCGGAGAGTATTTGGCACAGGTTGGCAAGTACTCAGTCTTGGGAACTTAAGAGTGCGTGTCGTGGTGCTGCTGGAGTCTAACCAGCTAAAACCGTATAGCTTGCCACTGTGAGCACTGTCTGGCAAGCTTCCCCACTGCTTGTCCAGGTTGGACCACCATTAGTGCTTTGGCTTGCAGGGTTAACAGGAGCTACAAATACACAGTCACTACACTTTACAGTAAAAGTCTGTGAAGCACTTTAAGATATTTCGACATGTTAAAGTGCTGTATTATCAATATTATGGTCCTCCTCATTTTAATGCTATGAATACTTGCTAACGTTTAAACAACAGTTTTGTAAAAAACAACTTTATTTACGAAATAATATTTCCAAAGTTGCAGATTACACTACAATCACGATCGATGAATGGCCTTCTTCTGTGCTGTAAATTTCTATGGTTTGCTTGACTCTATCTTTTCCAGTGGTTTGTTAAGCGCAAGAACGCTTTTAAACATGAGCGATCGATCCAGGGAAGGACTAAGCTTCAGAATTCTAAGGGATTATGTGATTAAAAGGCTACAGAGGTAAGTAGCTGTTTAGTAAATTTAATTTGTTTAAGCAGTTAATACTAATGCTTGCATTTGACATTGCGCCTCATCACGTCATCGAGGCATATCAAAACACGTCACAGGATTCACTGTTAAATAATAATAATAATCCTTGCATTTGATAGTGCCTTATCACATCATTGAGACGTCTTAACGTGCTTCACAGAATACATTGCACAGCGTCTGCCAAGAATAAAGAAACGGTATTTTGTGGGCAAAATGTGGCAGCCAATTAATTGCGCACAGCAGCATCCCACAAACAGTTGTGGATTGAGTGACCATGTTTTTTTAAAAATGTGACTGTTTGTGGGAACTTTGGTGTGCATTTCAATGTTTCATAAATAAGTATAGCTCGCCGTCATTGTGGCTCAGTTGGTAGCACTCTCAATTCTGTGTCAGAAGGTGATGGGTTCACTCCCCACACATCAAGACTTGAGATTCCTTGTCTAGGCTGGCTCTCCGGTGAGGAGCTGAGGGTGTGTTGTCGGAGACGCTGTCCTTCTGATGAGTTGTAAAACAAAGGCCCTGTCTGCCTACTGAGGTGGACCTCAAATATCCCGTGGCACAACCCAAAAGAGATGGGAGTTTCTCCCGGTGTGCTGGCCAACAATCCCACAGGTAAAATTGATCATTCACTTTGTGGCTGTTTGTGGGATAATACTGGGTGAAAATTGTCGGCCACATTCGCCCACAAAACACACAGTCACTGAAGCCCCTTGAGAGCCCCCCCCCCCCCCCTCCACACCCCCTCCCCCCACCTGCAAGGAGTACTGTAAATGAGTCAGGTCAATGCAATGTAAAATTAATGCTGTTAATGAAAATAATTATCGCAAGGATAGGTCACAAAAAGAGCTTCTGACAACAGTAGGCGGACCTGTCATCTTAGATCAAGATACCTGTTGGTGCTGATCTGCTTGTGGCGTCTTACTAAAGATCTTCTAATCAGAGTGACCCACGGTGTCAGGTCTGGGGTGTCAACCTTTGGCTAACCAATGTATGCAGCACACTTGATTGGTGACTGTGATGGAGCTTCTTTCTTCTCTCCATCCTGGCTCAATCAGTAACACACTCGCCTCCGAGTCAGAAGGTTGGTGGTTCAAGCCCCACATCAGTACTTTGGAACTCACATCGACTAAGCTCACACTTTAATACAGTGCAGGGGTGGGGGATGCACTGCTTCACAACAATAATAATAATACTTGCATTTTATATGCCCCTTCTCAGGTTGTTGAGACGTCTCAAAGTGCTTCACAGAATATATTGTAAAGTGGATTGACTGTGCATTTTGTGGGTGAAATGTGGCAGCCAATTGCATACAGCATTGACCCACAAACAGTTGTGGTTTGACTGACGGATTTTTTTTAGGAGGGAGGGATTATTACTCCCAGGAAACAATCTGCCAATCGACGAACAACTGGGTCCCTACCTACTGATAGGTAAACAGAGGCGTGTGGAGTAAGAGGTTTCGCCCTGCCTGGGAATCGACCTGGGTCCTCTCGCTTGTGAGGCGAGCGAACTTAACCCTACGCTACAGAATTCCACAAGTTAATATTTAGGTGGACATTAATGATCCTGTAGCAAAAGGGATTTTTTTCCGATGGCCTGGCCAGCAGTCATCAAATAAAATTGATCATTCACTTCACAGTTGTTTATGGGGCATTGCTTTGCGCAAATTGGCTGCTGTGTTTCCCCATAGTCACAACATTTTACGGTATATCCTGTGAAGCACTTTGAGACATTTTTCCTGATGTAACAGAGCAGTGTGTCATATGCAAGTTATTATTATCTTCTTCTATACTAATGAAACGACAATGTCTGGCTGCGCTTCAAGAAGGATCTTAATAACTGATTGACGCAGAGACATGATTTATATCTCATCGTAAAAGTCTTGCAACTAGGAGTGACATGGGCATATTTGTTTTTGGGTATCTCCTATCATTCATGAGTTATTTCAGTTTTGCATTTTTTGCTGCAGTTACACCTGATTGCCGCTGAGTCAAAGTGGTGCTGTAGCATTGTGTGTCACAGAGCATCTATGTATGTACGCACGCACTCAGTTACACCTGGTGCCCACGCCGGTCGACCATGGCGCTGTGGGATCCTGGGTCACAGAGCACGCACGTAGCCAAAATGCGGCGGAACAAAATAAAAAACACAGACGAAGCTAAGCCGGGGCAACAGCAACAAAATTACATTTTTAAAGCGCTGAGTCTTCCCACTGAGTCCTCCGAAAAGGAGTCCTCCCACACTAGTCCTCCCAGATGAGTATAGATAAAGATGAAATGTGCGTCTGTGCGTCTGTCAATCTACATTCCATATTGGATGCTTTCATTGCAAGCGTAGCTGCAATGGGTACAGCTGCTTACTAATAATAAGCATATGTTTTCTTTCCACTCTTTTACTTCCAGAATTCTGCCACTCTACCTGTACACAATGTGCTTATTGATTGGACTCTACTCTCTTATTCCCTGGAGGTCCGTGGGAGAAAATTCAAAGTCTCACCTGGAGAAGTGCAAGCAGTCCTGGTGGACCAACCTCTTATTCCTGAACAACTTCATCTCTGTTGACCAGCATGTAGGTCCCTTCTTTATAGGAAAGTCAGTGTATTTAGCATTTCCCTTGTAATAATACTTACAATTGGAATACAACAACTTGCATTTCTCAGCTTGGAGCACTGGCACCACTCTCGCCACTCTAGAGTTAGAAGGTTGTTAAATAATAATAATAATCCTTGCATTTGATATCGTGCTTTTCACACTTTTCATGCCTTCTAGATGTCTCAAAGCACTTCACAGAATATACTGTAAAGTGAATTGACTGTATATTTGTGGGCGAAATGTGGCAGCCAATTGCACACAGCAGTGTCCCACAAAGAGTTGTGGATTGAAGTGACCAATTTATTAATTTTTTTTCTTGAGGAAGTATTATCAGGCATGTGGAGCGAGGAAACTTACCCAGGGTTTCGTCCTACTGGGAATCAAACCCAGGTCTCTTGCTTGCAAGGTGAGTGCTCTAACCACTGAGCTACAGGACTCCACATTGGAATCACAGCTGACACTCCAATGCAGTGCTGGGTGTGTTGCATTGTTGGAGGTGCCGTCCTTTGGATGAGACATTAAACCGAGGTCCCATCTGCCTGTGCAGGTTGACATTGAAGAGCTCATGACACTATTCGTAAAGAGAAGGGAGTTTCTCCCGGTGTCCTGGTCAACAGTCCACCAAATAAAATTGGTCACTCGCTTCATGACTGTTTGTGGGACATGCTGCTTCATATTAATGTTTAATAGCTATATCTCACTCAATGACTAATCTGTGCTTACAGTGCATGGGCTGGACGTGGTACCTTGCAAATGATTTCCAGTTTTACATTACAACACCTGTATTCATCTTCCTGCTGTACAAGTGAGTGTGATTATTTACTGTTGCATTACAAGGAGTCATTACAATACAAATACAATACAAAATTACTCCCGCTTTTCACGTCGGGAGGATGTCCCAACGTGCTGAACAGTCAGGGATTAGGGATTTGTTGTGTGGGACTGTTGTGTGCTTGTTGCATTTTGGCTCAATTTTTCTTCATTGGTGTTTTTTTAACAGAAAGCCTTCTAAATTAAGATTCAATTTAAGAATTTTCCACAAATCTGCGCTTAGGCAAAACGGACTCACAGTCTAAGACGAGTTGGATTTGGAGGCTCAGAACCCTGGACATATGATCCCTCTTATCTACTATATTAACTGGAAACATATTGCTAACAGTCAATGTCAGAGTCACAATGACTTAGATTTACCAGTGATTTACCCTGTGCGTAAAGAAAAACATATCTGCTCTGAAATTGCCCATTACAACTCTAAATCTGCGTCCTCTTGCTCTAATGTTTTCTTGCATGTATCTGTGTCCAGGAGAAGACAGCTGATGGTCACACTGGCTGGGCTTGTCTTGTTGAGCTGTTTTATGGTCACTGCATTGATCTCGTGGTTCTTTAAGTTGCCAATAGGACTTCACTCAGACAGCAGGTAGGCACCTGATTTTACCACTACAGCTTCACCTCTGGACATTGTACAGCCTATTTTTGACTCGGAATGAATGGGGAAACTTACCCATAGAGATTAAACTTGTGACGTGTTAACAGGTCTCCTTGTGACAATTATCACAAATGTTATAGTCATATTAATAATCTGTGCTTTTCATACATACCTTTCACGTCAGGAGGCGGCTTAAAGCGCTTCATAGTATTTACTGTAAAGCATAGTGACAGAGTATTTTTTGGCGAACATGGCAGATAATTTCTGCACAACAATGTCCCACAAACAGCCTGGAAGTGATTGACCAAATTTAATTGGTGAGCCAGGCTGACTCACGAGACAAACACATAACACATGATGGCCTTTATATGAATGCAAGTTGTTGTTGTTAAATAATGGATACCTTTTATTTGCAGGCTGATATCACACAGGGTCTACAACGTGCAGTACTATCTGAAGCCTTACTGTCGCTACGGCCCATTTTTGATTGGAATCCTGTTGGGCATTTTAATGCATCGCAGAGAGACACCATTGTTGACAACGAAGGTATTCAACTCGTAGCAAGAGCGTGTTTGAGTTGTTACAGCTTTTGGAGAGAGATCTTCAATACACCCCTGTGGCCGAGGTTCCAAACAACAACAGATTATATTTTTATAGCGCCTTTCAGGTCGGAGGACATCCCAAGGCGCTGGACAGGCAGGGATTTGGAAGTCAGCAGGGAGTTGGGATCAGGAGGGATGGAGGGCAGGGCAGGTAAGTGGTGGAAGGGTGACCAAAGGCATATTTGAAGAGGAGGGTGCGAGACAGGCTTTGAAGGAGGCAAGGGAGGGAGCGAGGTAAAGGGATTGTGGGATGGAGTTTCAAACGATGGTGACAGGGAAGCTGAAGGCCCAACCACTGATGGAGGAGTGGGACAGGTAGGGGACATGGAGCAATCAGGGAGCCTGCTGAGTGGAGGGAGAGGACAGGCATGTATGGGGTTAGCAGGTTACAGAGGTAACAAGGAACAAGGTCAGGAAGGGCTTTGAAAGTGAGGACAAGGATTTTGAACTCTATCCTCTGAGGGATGGGGAGTCAGTGGAAGCGGGCAAGGATGGGAGTGATAGATTCACGGAGCTTGGTGACTATGTGAGTTCAAGTCCCAATGTGGGATTTGAACCCACAACTTTCTGATTCAGAGAAGAGAGGGCTACCACTGTGCCAGGCTGACACACAAATTCTCTTAATATCAGCTGAGCATAGCTTTCTTTTCCAGGTTCCTGTCCTTGTGGGATGGCTCTGTGCTCTGCTAATCATGGCGGTGGTGATAGCTCTGGGCTACACCCTGGATGACTCCATTGCTTCCTACTCAGTGGTCTCTGTGTTGTATCAGGCTTTGCACAGGTCGGTGTGGGCGGCCTCTGTGGGCTGGATAATCCTGGCGTGCGAAGAAGGATATGGAGGTATTGTGTTCTTAGAGTCGCAAAACACATTTGGACTTTGATTCAACAACAACAAATTACATTTGTATAGCGCCTTTCACTTTGGGAGAACGTCCCAAGGCTCTGGAAAGTCAAGTCATTGGGACCCGAACTGGGGGTTGGGATCAGTTGGGGTGGAGGGCAGGGAGGGTAGAGGTAGGAATGTAACTGAAGGCACTGTTGATGAGGAGGGTCTTGAGACAGGTCTTGAAGGAGGCAATGGAGGGGGTGAGGCAAACAGACTGTGGGATGGAATTCCAAAGAGTATTTTAACAACAACAGCTTGTATTTATACAGTGCCCTTCACACAGAGTAGAGTCTTGGAGCACTGCACAGTGGTGGGGTAGACACTGACCGAGGTGGAAAGGAAATGGGTAGGTGACCGTAGGCTCGGACAAAGTAGGATTTCAAGACAGAAAGATTTGAGACAGGGAGCTCACTAGTGTAACTTAAAAATAATAATCCTTCCATTTTATACAGCTGTTTGTTTTTATACAAACTGTTCTGGTTTTTATGACCAGAAGATGTCTCAAAGTGCTTCAAATGATTTAATATAAAGCGCATTGACTGTATTGTTGGCCAGGACACTGAGAAAAAAGCAATTGGTTGCCACATTTCTTCCATAAAATACACAGTCAATCCACTTTACAGTGTAGCCTGTGAAGACGTGATAAGGCGCTACATGAAATGCAAGGATTGTTATTATAATATTATAAACTTGCTCCTCTTTGCGAATAGTGCCATGGAAAGTGAACTAATTTCATGAAGGGACGTGTGAACTCAACATGTTAGATAGAAATGGAGCGGGAGCCTGAGCTGGGTGGGAGATGGGGGTGTGATAGGGGGAGAATGTTACATGGGGGAAAACATACACACAATGCAGAAACAGAAGCTCTGTCATTTAGTGATGAAAATTTGGTGTGAGATTTGAGATGATTCATAACACGTCCTTGTGATAATTGCCTCAAACTTTACAGTATATCCTGTGAAGCGCTTTGAGACATTTCCCCCAAACCCCACGTGAAACCAGCGATCTGAGACATTACCCTATGCGAAGGGGGATAAATAAATGCAAGTCGTCATATCAAATGCAAGCAATTGTTAATATTTTTGTATATAAATCTTATTAATAATAATCCTTGGATTTGATATAGCACCTAATCACATAATTGAGACGTCTCAAAGCGCTTTATAGAATATACTGTAAAGTGAATTGACTGTATTATTAGACCGAATGACTGCTCCCCCAGCACTGCATTGGTGTCAGTTAGACGATGAGTTCAAAGTACCTATGTGGGGCTCGAACCCACAATCCTCTGATTGCTACCTACTGAGCCAGGCTAACACCTACCTTTACTGTGATAATTTGAATATTGTAGTTGAAAGCCAGGGTGAGTTGTTTAGGGTTTAACTTGTATTTATTCTCCCTCTCCCCACCCCTCTCCCCACCCCCCAGGGTTTGTTAGAAGCTTGCTGTCGTGCAGGGTGTGGGTCCCACTCGCCAACCTCAGCTACGCCTGCTATCTAGTGCACCCTGCTGTCATAGACATCTATAACGGACTGCAAGAGACTCTACTTCATTACACAGACATCAACATGGTGAGTGAGTCTCACGGCCTCAGCGAGCCCCTTGTTCAACTCTACTCACATTGAGAGGCTTTGTAAACCCTTGTGCGGCCCAGGAGCTCTACAGCATGTAAGACAATAACCCTTGAATTTGGTAGACATTTCATCACATCAAAACGTGGAGTCCTGTAGCATAGTGGTTAGCTTGCCTCGCAAGTGAGAGGATCTGGGTTCAATTCCTGGGTAGGGTAAAACTTAAGGCAAGTTTCCTTACTCCGCCTGCCTCTGTTTACCAATAAGTAGGAACCCGGTTATTAATTGATTGGCAGATCGCTAGCTAAGGGTAATAATCGCTCGCCCCCCCCCCACTCAAATAAATGTGGTCACTCAAACCACGACTGTTTGTTGGACAGTGTTGTGCCCAATTGTGGATAACCTCATACCCCCTGCGCTTCATTCTGTCTCCTCCTTGCACCACTTTTCCCACCTCCTATTTACCATCCACACCCCACCCCCCCACCCCCACCAGCCTCTCCTCCAGCCTCCCTCCCCCCCACCACCAATAAATTAGACGGCAAATTTTGTTTTTAGAAAATTTACAAATGATTTTAATTCTCTTTTTTCCTCCCTGCAGTTTTATCTCTTTATTGGCCACACGGTTTTGACACACGCTGCTGGGTTCGCACTGTGTGTTCTTGTCGAAATCCCAATTCAAGCATTAAGAAGACACATAAGAACATAAGAATTTGATTGAAGGAAGAAGACCAAGGTTCACCCAGTTGGCCTTCCGCCATCCTGGCAGACATTGCACATGTCATGTCCCAAACTATAAACTGTATCCCAAGAAATGATTTCCTAAAAGAAATCGATCCAATTTGCTCTTGAAAGAAATCAACACTTTCTTACTCCCACCATCTGCCTAGAGAGCCTGTTCCATAGATTTATTTTACTCGCTCACTGAAGGAGTGTTTCTGCAATTTGTTTTGAATTTACCCCCTTCAATCGCAGGCTGTGTCCTCTGGTTCTACTGTTCAGTACAAGATAAAGCAGCTTATCATGCTCTACATTATCCAATCGCTTTAAAGTCTTACAAAATGCCATCATATCGCTTCTCAACCTTCTCTTTTCCAGTGTGATGCCCAGTTTACCTAATCACTCCCCATAGTCCAGTTCCTTCATCACCTCAATTATTTTAGTTACCTGGTCTGTGCTCTCTCAATTGCTGCAATATCCTTTTTGCACTGCAGCGACCAGAATTGCACACAGTATTCCAATTACGTTGAAAGGGAATAATTTTTTTATTATTTAAAATATTACGCAGAATGAACTGTACTTTTCTGTTTTAATTGTATCAATTCAAAAAGTCATTAAATTTATATTTCATTACAATTAACTTCACGGCTCTTTGGGGGAACATTACTGAGCGCATGTTTGGCTGCCAAAGGAGGACATCTCAAGATGCTGAAAGGTGCTCTATCTAATCAAATTATTGAAATAATAAGGTTCAGACCATAACAGCTCACCTTCCCTCCCCCTCTTCTGTGACCAATGCATCAATTGGGTCCCAGACATACCTTTACTCTCTCTGGTCTGCCTATTTTGTTGCAATTCCTCCCTCTGTTTTGCATCATTAACACCTCTTTAACCCATCATCGTTTGTCCTTTACCCCATTTTTCCCTTGTCTTCCTTGCCCTGCCCCCACCCCCCCACCTGTTAGCCCTTAAAAGCCTCTCCCTCCCAACATGCCCCAGTTCTGAAGAAAGATCGTGGACCCAAAACTTCGACTCACTTTCCTTTCTCCTCTGGTGCTGCCTGACCTGCTGAGTGTTCCCAGCGACTTCCCAATTCTTATTATATGTTTTGTTCACCCGTAAGCATTATTCCACTTATTCAAAGTCATTGACAGCAAAGCAGAGATTATCATTTACATTCAATCCACGTCCCTATTTCTCTTTGTCTTGTCAGTCAGCTACACTGTGTCCTACACGCAGATCATTTTTAGCAATTGTTAGACTCTGTGGTTACACAAGAGGCCACACTGTTGGTGGCTCACTCTGTGACAAAGCAGGTGTCAAAAATCTTCAATCCCTCAGTATCAATAAATCACAAATCATAGAGCAGATAGAGGTTGGTAACATTGTGAAGGGTTTGATGAGGTGGATGAGAGGACGCTGTTTCCCCTTGTTCCATTGCTGCTGTTCTTCAAGTCTCCACTCAAGACTTCACTGCCCCCGCTCTCTACAACTCCATCCTGTTATCTCCTCGTCTCGCCCCTTCCCTTGCCTCCTTCAAGGTCCGACTCAAGACCATACTCTGAACACACTTTTGACCATCTTTCCCTCCACTCCCTCAATCCTAACCTCAGCTCAAGTACGTAACCCTGGACTGTGCAGCATTTCAGGATGTCATCCCGACCTGAAGGCCTATATAAACATTAATTTGTACTGTATTAATAATAATAATCCTTGCATTTGATATGGCGCTTTTCACGTCGGGAGGACGTCCCAAAGCGCTTCACAGAACACATTGTAAAGTGAATTGACTGTATATTTGTGGGCGAACGCGGCAGTCAATTGCGCACAGCAATGTCCCACAAACAGTCGTCGATTGAAAATGACCAATTTATCATTGTTTTGGGTTTTGGAGGGATTATTATTAGGCTCTGTGTGGAGTAAGGAAACTTGCCCGAGGTTTCGCCCTCTGCCTGGAATTGAACTCAGGTCTCTCACTTGCAAAGCGAGTGCTCTAACCCCTGAGCTACAGGACTCCGCAATTGATGGTGAGTCCAAAGTGAGAGGGTGCAAGTATTAGTGTTAGATAGCTAGTAACAACACATCTAAAAGAGATTTTAGGAGGAACTTCTTCACACAGAGGGTGAAGAGAATGTGGTACAATGCAAGAGTCCCCCAGCACTATATCCTATGTGAGGTCAAAGTCCAGGTGTGCGTTTTGAACGCACAATCTACTGACGCACAGGTGAGAGTGCTACCAACTGAGCCAGGCTGTCGCCTGTTTGTAGATGAACTGTTTCAATGTGTCAGGAACAAATACGTTCCCTCTCAGGCTCATTTGTACGGTGCTTTAAACGGCTCGTTTGGAATTCGGTGCTTCCAACATTTCAATCCAGTTTACGGTGCGCATCAGTTAAAAGAGGCTGCTTGCAGTAGGACCTCAGGTTTCCATGGAAACGTTATACAATTCTGTCCGAGAAAGAGTTGTATACACTTTAAGATGCTCTGAAGCAGCTTAGATCGACATCTTTAACGGTCTGGGACTTCAACGTTCTGTGAATTTCACGAGCTGGCTTGCTAGCTCCTCTGCGCAGGAGAAATATCTTCCTTTCCTTCCTCCCCAGCTCGGTTTCAAGCTCTGCCATTGTTAAGCGCTCCGAGACGCTACCCCACTTAAAGGGCGCTACATAAATGCAAGTTGTCGTTGTTGAGAAACAGTACCTTTGGGAGTCACGGAGGTGGGGGGGGGGGGGGTTATGTTACAGCAGATTATAGAGAGGATGATTTATGTATTTAATGACTGGAACACCAACAGAAAGGGTGGTTGAGGCCAGGATACTGAGACTCGTTTTTAAAAGTAGCTTGATGCCGTGATGGGGGATTGTAAAGCAGGTATTCTGGAGGGATGAGATCAGAGGCATTGTCCTTTTGATGAGATGTAAAACTCGTGGTCCCATCTGCCCTTGCAGGTCGATGCTAAAGAGCTACATGACACTATTGGAAAAGAGAAAGGAGTTTCTCTCACTGACCTTTGTCAACAATCCCCCAAATAAAATTGATCATTCACTTCATGGCTGTTGGTGAGACATTGCCCGAGTGCAAATTGGCTGTCACGTTCGCCTACGAATAGTCACTGCATTTCACAGTAAAAATCCTTTGAGACGTTTCGAAGATGTGATAAGGCTGTTTGAGATGTTCTCAATGTGGTCAAGCTGCTATATCAAAGGATTAGTATTAGTACTCAGCAAAAAACTCAACCCTACAGTACTTAAGGTCTTTGTCTTCCACAGTGATTTTGCATAAGGCAATTAAAGTCGTTTTGTTATTTGCATTGTCCCCTGAAGCCTCGCTCGACATGTTCTGAAATATCTGCCTTTTGTGCATTTAAATAAGTGGTGAATAATTTCAATTGCATCAATTTCCAATGTTTCTTTGACTGTTCTGAACTGTGAAAGACACAATGATTACTCTGACAGACTCTTCGATTTCACTTTGATGAGAAACTTTCTAAAACTATTAAACGTCTTTTCTTCTGTCGACCCTCTACCTCACTGAGTTGACACATTAGCTTCTGAGAAGACAGAGTGATGTCAATGAAGTGCAAAGAGTTTGGCTTGGGCTATCTCCATTGTCTCCATTGCCTCCAACACGTTACACCCCACTTAATACAAGCAACCAGACACAAGATCACCAGTGGTTTGGATAATGATAATCTTTGCATTTGATGTAGCGCCTTATCACATCTTTGAGATGTCTCAAAGTGCTTCACAGAATATACTGGATTGAGTGTGTATCTGGCCGCAAAATATGGCAGCCAGTTGCACACAGCAATGTCTCACAAACAGCCATGGAGTGAGTGACCAATTTTTTTTATTTTGAGGGACACCAGGAGACACTATTCTCTTTTTGAATAGTGGCAGGGTATCTTTAACATTCACCTGAATAGGCAGATTGGACCACGGTTTAACGTCTCATCCAACACACAGCATCTCCGACACTGGAACACACCCCCAGCATTGCATGATCTAATCATCTTAATAATAATCATTACCTTTGGTATAGTGCCATCACGACAGTAGGATGTCCCAAAGCAACAATAACAACAAAAACAGAAGTCGCTGGGAACATTCAGCAGGTCAGGCAGCATCTATGGAGAAAGGAAAGTGAGTCAACGTTTCGGGTCCACGACCCTTTGTCAGAACTGGGGCATTTTGGAAGGGAGAGGCTTTTAAGGGCTAACAGAGAGGGGGGAGGCAGGGCAAGGAAGACGAAGAAGAAAATTAGGTAGAGGACAGGGGATGACGGGTTAAAGCAAATAAAGGGGGGGAAAAATTGCAACGAAATAGGCAGATCAGAAAGAGAAAAAGTGTGTTTGGGAGCCATAACGTGCTAATCGTCACAGAAGAGGGTGAGGGGGAAGGAGAGCTGTGATGGTCTGAAATTGTTGAAATCAATATTGAGGCTAGAGGGCTGTAAGGTCCCTAGCAGATAAATGAGGTGCTGTTCCTCGAGCTTGTGCTGTGTCTGATTGGAACAACGTAGGAGACCATGGATGGAGAAGTCAGAATGCGAGTGGGAGGGAGAGTTGAAATGGGAAGAAACCGGAAGCTCAGGGTTGTACTTGCGGACAGAACGGAGGTGTTGACAAATCATTCGCCCAATCTGTATTGCGTCTCCCCACTGTAGAGGCGACCACATCGTGAGCAGCGAATGCAGTAAACTACATTGGTGGTAGTATATGTAAATCGCTGTCTCACTTGAAATCTGTGTTTTGAACCCTGGACAGTGGAGTGGGAGGAGGTGAAAGGGCAGGTATTGCATCTCCTGCGCTGCGTGGGAAGGTGCCGGTGAGAGGAGAGTAACTGTTGGTGGTGATGAAGGAATGAACCAGGGAGTCACGGAGGGAACGGTCCCTTCAGAATGCTGAGAGGGGAGGACAAAATATGTTTAGTGGGACAACTAACAACAACAACTTGCATTTATATAGCGCCCTTCACGTAGGGCAGCTTCTTGGAG